ATGAATTGCTGTTTTTCAATTCTTCTTCAAGCACATCACATCAAAGAGAATCCTGCATGAAATTAACTGACTTGATGATATTGAAAATTCAATCAGAACAAACTTAATCTACAAAATTGCTTTGACATTTATGTACACACGTGGTAGGCAACACTCTGATAATTTTTGTTCTAAGTAACTATAATTAAAAATAAAATAGTGTGATAATTCTTGGCTATTTGTAGGAAGCTTGCAACCATTATATTTGGAACATGATACAAATTACTTCATGTATCACAGCTTGCAATAAATTTTATCAAACAGTACTTGTATAGATTTAATGAAGCTCTCATAGATTAAGTAACAATACATACAAAATATTGATCTGATCGAAAGAAAATGCTTAATATGCAACAATGGTCAGATCGAAGATGAGACACACTTCCTTGTACAATGTAATCATTACAAAAAAGATAGAGATGACCTCTTCAACAAACACAACCTACTCCAGGACAATTACTCTGACTATGAAAATTTGATAAACATACTAAAACTAAAAGATAAACAAATATTAAAAGAGTTAAGTAAATTTATTTACCAGTGTTTTACTATGAGGGAAGACAGTTTAAAAAACGGATTTCCAGCTGCCTCATAACAAAGAAACAGTATTTTTTTTTTATACATGATTTTTATAAATTATCTTTTTTCCTCGCTTTCTAACTGTTATGTATTTTATTAGTTTTAGTTGTATTTGTAATTTTGTTTTGTCATTATTTTTTATATATATTACCTTTATTGTATTGATCAATACCCCATTGTGGATACGATTTCAATAAAGTTATTATTATTACAATAAATGTATGATACATGTAGATTTGACCTTATGTAGATCCATTTTACACATACATTTTAACTACAAGAGTCAAAATGTAATATAACCAATGAAAGAAGCTGTACATTCGAATGCATTACAGATGTCTTTCTTAATTAATTGAAAAATGTGCATCACAGCAAAAATGTAACATGTGACAAACATCCTGAAGCATGGAAGAATCTTATAATAATGCTAGTATTTGGGGGTGTCATCCTTCACTTAAACAAACAGCCTGTCAGCTGAGATAGCTCCGCTGTTAGCAATGCACATTGCAATTAAAGAACTGAAGATATCATTAGAAAATGAACAATATGTATAGTATCAAAGCAATCGGACTTGCTGTTTTCAACAAGAAGTCCGAAAATATCACTTTATCACATCAAAATTAGGGATTTGAAGGTCTGCCAAGGTACATATACACCAAGTATCAAAGCAATAACAATTGTAGATTTCAAGAAGAAGTTGAAAAAGTAAAAAGTTGACACGGATGACGATGAAGGACAATCACTCATATGATAAGCTCCGCTCGACTAAGTCGACAGCTGAGCTAAAAAGGCAAAGATATATAACTATAACTATATGGCAAGAACACAGTAATGTACATCAGACACAGATAGTACAGGACATAATCATGTCAGTTGATATAATTAAATACTGCCATGTGTAGAATTCTTGTAATAACCTCATGTTTAGTTATAACTGATACATACCTGTTAAGCACCTCATCAAGTAATGTATCAGCCTTTTCCGAGCCGATCTGAACTTTAGCTAAATACTTTATTAACTTTTCATAGTTCACCATGTCCATGTTGCCGTCCATGGCAAAACTTGAGAAGAGTACCCGAAGCATGGACGAGTTGATGGGTAAACGATGCCTCAGACATAACATGTTCATTTGAGGCAGAGTAATAAATCCTGTGAGACGAGTGTCAAACTCTAAGGCGTCTGTGTAGATATCCTGAAATGATGCCGGATCGTATTCTCTTATTGAATGTCGTAGTTCATCTGACATGGAATAATTCGGCCTTCCGAGGTGGGCTAATGGATCAGGTGTTGGATTCGGAGAACTTTCACATTCCTCATCCTCCTGGTAATTCTCATTATCATCCATGTCCATATAGTTGTCTTCATCTTCATTAACTGCAGGCCACGTTAGTAGATTTGTCTTTGCACGTTGCCTTATTGGAGGGAGTATGCTATAAATAAATAAATATACAAATAGTGATACACTTTTGAAAGTTAAAAAACTACATTCAAATTTCATGGTCAAAGATTAATTTCTACTCACTTTGGTCCACCAGGAAATCCATTCCTATTAAATCCAATACCATGGATTTGAGAATTGTATCTATCAGCATCAGCACTCTGGGACGGAATCTTTCTGGCTCTTTCATGCTATAAGAAAAGAATAAATCATTTCACAGAAAATTCAAGTTTTAATGAA